CGTGCCTGCGCGCTGGCGGAGCCGCTCGCCGTCCCACTCCGGGGGGTGCGAGGGCTGCGAACCCGCCGCTGGGAGCCGGAGGTGCCGGGTTTCCAGTTACAGTGTTGCCTGTCACGCGTGAGCGCTTTTACCGTCTCAGGCCCTTCCAAGTGAGTCCCCTGAGGCAGACATACTGAGGGTGGGGTTCCCCGAAAGACTCAGGCTCTCCTCCTCGCTGCCCTTTATCCTGACTCCAGTTGGAAGGTTGGCTTGTGAAGGCTTCTTAAGACAGTGCCCTGGCTGGGATGAAACAGGCAACCCCAGGGCACCCTCAACCCAGGTCGGTCTGTTTCAAGGTGGCGTGTTCCAGAAATGTGAAGACAGACGCGACAAAAGCACCGCTCCCTGCTCCCAGGTAGCCCCGCGGGCTGGCCACCCTGGCTTCTGTGCCCGCGCTGGGGAGTCCCTTCACAAATAGAGCGGGGGAGGGGGCGACCCTGGCTCCAGCGTGAGGCGCGCTTGCTGGTGGGGACTGCGCGGGAGAAACCTTCCCAGGGCACAGAAAGCGATGCTATTGCCTTGACCACTTTGGCCCTCTGCTACCCGGGATCCAATGACACTTGGCGGCACCTGGTCCCGCAAGCAGAGCAGGCTCCGAGCGCTGGCCCGCGAAGTCACTCTGGGAGAGCACAGGTACAACGCGGAGGACAGCACAGGCTTGTGTGACATGCAGATTAAGTAATCGCTTCTGCGCCGCTGTCTGTGCCCTGTCCCTGGACGTGAGGGTCCCCTGAAAGCTCCCTTTGTGCCGCTCGCCTCGGGCAGACAAGGTTTGATTCACCTGAAAATTGCCTTTAAAAAACATAGCTGGGCCAAAGCTCCAGGGGCTCCCGCCCAGCCTCAACGCCTAGGATCGCGTAGCAGGGGGCAGGAGGGCCTAATCTAAACACGTCAGGGCATCCGATTTATTATTCTTGACCTCTGCATGGTTGTATTCTTCCTGCCTCTTCTACCCAACCTTTCACTGGAGCCTTGCGGCTGCCTCACACAATAAGCAGCCTGGGGTTCGAGCCTTGCTCTGGTTCCTGGCTGTCCCCACCTTCTCACTTCGCAGGGTCCAGCGAGGGGAACTGAACCTCAGGGTCAGTGGGGAGAGGGATACTGGACACAAGTGCAGCAGCCTCCTGCCCTGCATCGCTCTTCCAGCCAATACCCACCCGGCGCCTATGGCCCACTCCCCTCTTCACCCAACAGACTCCTGGGCCAAGAGCCACACAGTTTCTGGAAAGGGTCAGGGTCCTAAAGTGTTCGTGTTAGAGTTGTCTCTGATTGCAGTTTGGGGGCCCCTGTTTCTGATGGAAGACACAGGAGAGAAAGCTGACCATCGATTCGTTTCCATTTCCCCCAGCGAGAACAGCGGTGCGGGAAGCTGCCGGCTGATGCTGCCCCAAGTCTTCTGGGAGCAGAGGGGAAAGGCTCACCTCTAGACTGGGGACTCCAGAGGATTTTCAGAGTCCAAAGTCTAACTGCTTCGACCCGCCTTAATTGTCTCAAGGCCAAGTCAAAGGCGCCCTCTTGTTGTGTAGCCGGGATGAGAGAGGGAGTGGGTGGAATTGGGTTGAAATTCCAATTGTTCTGTGAGGGTGGGGCTGGGAGAAAGCTCCCCTAGCAGAGGATGCTCCTTGCTCCTCGCACTTCAGTCTGCATTTGCGCCTGGGGTTTGCTGGTGCAATCCTGGGAAAGGGGCGACCCCTTGCGTCCTCCGAGGAGACAGGCGAGACTCTCTTGGCAGGTGCAGCATGGGTTTTTTGGAGAATGAGGAAGGGCTGTAGGGTAAGGAGAGAGCTTTGTTAAAGGTCCAGAAATTGAAGGTCAGATTGCATGTGCACATACTCGTTTCTTTGGAAATCTCTGAAGAAAAAGTTTTCTCAAATAGGGAGTAGGGAAAAGTCGTTTAAGTGGAAAATAAGGTAGTAGTCAAAGGTATTCTAGAAAGAAGTGGTCTTTCCTATTTTTCCTTCAAGAGACAGCTGAAGTATTTTAAGAGTATACCTTTTGGCCTATAGTTAAATAGCTTCACCTTCCTAAACTTTTAAAAATCTTAGCTAATGATAGAAAAGTGAGATATAAGAACAATTTTTCAAAGTTTTCACCAGTCTCTTGAATGTTGTAGTACAAAAGTTTGCAAAAAAAAATTCATTTGCAGTGTTAAATATTATCAAGTCCATTGCTAATCCTTAGATAAAGTAGATAAAGCTCTATCAGGATTGTCCTGTTTCCCTCAAGCAACTGAGATATACCACTTATCTCTATTTTGCTGCAAAGTAGTGATCTTGTTTTCTCTTATAAAAGAAAAAAAAACATTTTAAACAGGAGTTTTGTATATTTTAAAATATGTTTTGAGTTATGGATAAGTAAATATCCAAATAACTTTTTTAACTATCTGTATTCATATACAGCTCCTAGAGATGACTACATTGAATTTATTCAAGATAAAAATGAAATGCAATCCTCATTTAAAAATCCTCAACCACAAATGTTTTCAGAGGTAAATCCTCAACCACAAATGTTTTCCAAGGATGTTAAATCAAGAACCCTGAACCCAGTTTTAACTTCTTTCCAGCTCAACCTTTGCACCTTGGTGCAGTCAGCTTCCGATTTCTAGCTTTTTGGCTAATAAAATTAAAGGTTATATTTGCCATAATACTAATGACGACTGTACCCTACAACTGCACCACACTTTCACTTGAATTATTTGCTTGGGTCCCTACATAGCCACTTGAAGTATAGAGGCAGTTATTAATATTCCCATTTTACAGAGAAAGAACCCAAGAAACAGAGGCTAAGTAGCCTGTACAAAGCCAAACAGCAAATAAATGGAGCTTGTCTCCTGCTGTTTATACTATATGCTGATCCTTGTCAAAGAGAAGATGTCAGGCATGTTAAATAATAAATCTGATGATCTCCAGACCATCATTCATCCTATGTTTGAAGAATAAGCTGCTCTGGTTGACTGGGAATTTTTGAACTGACATCTATGTATTATACATGAATGACCAATGTCAAAGAGTTAAATACCTGATAGTAATAGTGAAGCTTGCTAAGTATAATATGATTTTATTTGGTTATTAAGAAGACATTGTACGGTCATATTATGCAAGAAGACTATTAGAAACATCAGGTGCCACTGTAGTATCCTTTTTACTTGACACCATCTATCAATTGGTTTTTAATTGCTTAGGTTCCAGATAAATACAAGTTTTGAAAAGGCATTGCATGCGTAATAATTACCAAGCGCTCATTGCACAAAGAACTTTTGAAAATCCTTCATAAAGGTGTTTGAAATAAAGGAGTAAGAACACAAGGGAAATCATTTTCATGGTGATAAAATGAAAACTGATTTATGGAATATACTGGTCATTACTCATAACACTGTTTCAGATGTTAAGCCATTCTTCAAGATTCTGATACATGCTTGATGTTTGTATCATTAACCTAGAAAATAACAGGTTGACTATAAGAGAGAAAAATCTTTCATTCTACTATGCTTCTCATAATATTATTTTTGAATGAAAGTATGGTTTAGCTATTGCCTACAATGTATTTCTCCACTTGTCTACTTTTGTCCCCATTCTACCTTATGTTTGAGAGAAACATTGTTTAGTAGTTGGAGGCAGGAGTAATACTTGCTAAAGTATGTTCTGCAACGTATCATGTGATATCTGTATGAATCAAAGCCCCAAATTCAAACTCTTAGGCAGTGATGATGACTTCGAAATATAAATAGAAGACACTTATTTTTGTGAATTCTAATTTAGTCATCATTACACTATCAAAATTGTTTCTTAAAGCATCTTTGTTATACTATTTCAATTTTTTGTTTATTACTTCAAAAGAAAGATTTTACTAAAAACTTAAGAATGCTAATTTTTGAATATTATCTTTTTAGTCCCAAGTTATTCTGTGTAAAGTAACTGAGAATATAATCAGCTTAAAACTGATTTAATGTCATTACTGCAATATTTTTAACACTTGAAATATGAATAATACTTCAACTTATAAATAGATATGTTTTGTTAAATCCTTTCTCCATTAAATAGTTCCTGGAATTTAATACTCTACAAATTAGGTCCCCAGAAAGTGATAAATAGAAAATTACAGCATGTAGTTAAATTTGATTTTCAAGTTATTACAGAGAAACTCTTGCCACACTACTGAGCGAATTTATTAGTCATCTGATAGTTTAGACTATTTTAATCTGGGCAGAGATCTCCAGATTGCTACTGAATGTCTCAAATATTTTCTAGCTAAATGGTTAAATTTTTTTTAATGCAACAGTTCTTTTGAATTCTGTGTATTTTTGATAGACTATGCTGTGGAGTTCTCAGAGTGCTGTGTAGAGTTAAGACCACATGATCCCTCTGCAATTGTAAGAATGAACTATCAAAAAATAAAACTGTTCTACATACAGCAATTTATAAATCATCTTTCCCCCTTTATCTCTATCCAAATGTTTCATTTTGGACATCGTCCTAACCTCTCTGCCCACTTCCTCACTGTTCACTCTCCCCAGCCCCCAAAACATCCTTTTCCAAGTAGTGAATTCTTGAAATGCCATCAGAGTGGGTATTATGTTTCATGAAATGTAAGAATCAACTTTGGTTACCATTAGGAAAACATCATTCAGTTCTGAGAGCATGGTAAGGATCATGTAAGACAGTGTGTTGAAATTATGTTTTACTTGGTTAGGACTATTTCTTCTCTGAACAGTGCATTGCACACTTGCATTCTCTTTTGAGAATGACCATTTGAAAAAGTGTTGCATCATAAATTATATAGATATTTATTGTCTTGCGTTTGATTTTGAGGAAAAATGTGGATTGCTTTCTTGATTGTGACTTTTTTCTTTAGGCGTAAATGATTTAATTATCTTAAAATTTAGCATTGGTTGGCCAACCTAATAAATTTGAAATGCTTTGCAGTTATACATTAACA